AGCCAGAGAGCAGGCAGATTTCCAAAGATCTTAGTGGTGTGTTTAGGGAAGAAGTACGGTACTGAAAATAACTCTAAAATAGTTCAGATATAAATAATATGCATATGTTTATACACACACACACACACACACACGAAGAAAGAATGATACTAAAAATGGGTCAAAATAGTAATATGTAGTGAATCTGGATAAAGATATCTGAGAGTTGTATGTACTGACTTGAAACCTTTCCATAAATTTGAAATTATATATGAACGAAAAGTTACATTTCAGAAAACTAATAATTACATTAAAACATGGTCAATCACAGTAATAAGCAAATGAATTAAACATAAAGAGTCATATGTTTATCAAATGAAATAGAAAAATTGGAAAATATGCAAGAATAAATTGTCTTTTGAGCATAAGAGAAACATACATTTTCCTAGATAGCTGGTGAGCATATAAATTGCTAATATTTTGTGGAAGTATTTGGCCCTATATGTCTTGGCCATATAAGTATACATACCTTTTGAATAACTCTGATTTAAATAATTATTCCACCAAAAAATAAGAAATGTTCAAAAATATTTACAATTGTTTTGTACATTTTTATATTAATATTTCCATGATAAATTTAAAATGATCTACCTTTTCAGCAAAAGTGAGCTGACTAAATTTTAGTACTTCCATAAAAAGAATTAACACACAGACAATAAAATGAAGTTGAAGAAAAATATTTGATAGCGTGATTTTGAAAAAGTTTAAGAGGTGTTATGTGAAAGTAGGCCATAAAAGGGTATATATGACACATTTTCCAATAGGCTTGAAGTAAAATCTGTAATTGCACATGAATGAAAGGAAGAAAAAACATAAGGCATATATAAGAGTCCTTCAAAAATTGCCTGGAAAAGTAGAATTGAAAGATAACATGAATTTTTGAAGTACACTCTTCCATGGTAGGATAATGATTTCCTTGAGAACCAGACTCCAGGACTTTGCCTCTTAGAGTGTGAACTTCCCCAATCTGTCTCACATAGGAAGCCAGTTTAAAAGATCCCTCCTAGATCTACAGAAGCCAAAGCCCGGGGATGTAGCCTAGAAATCTGCATTTTTAAATAGCACTCATAGCATTCTGACTGATTCAATGACATGCTAATGTACAATTTTTCCTGAAAGTAGAACTCCAAGACTAATCAAGTGTTTGACAAGAGTAAATATAAGCTTGCTACTTCTTTCTCTCTTTTCTATTTATTTTAAAAAAATGAGTTTCTCTTTATTTCTATACTCAAGCCCTGTGCAATCTAGTTTCATGGTTTGTTTTCTCACTTTGATTCTCCTGCCTTTGCCACTTCCATAAAAATCTGCGTGGCACCCACATTCTCTTTGAAGATGGGCTCTTTCTTGATTTCAATTGTCTTCTTAGAGTCTAGTGTTCTATACTCTAATCAAATTGTTGGTGCCTATAATCTCTTTCCAGTACTCCTTTACCCAAACTACCTGTGTTACTGTACAAAAGGCAGCACAGACTTCCCATCACTTACTCTCTCTTAACTCCAAAAAATCTATGTGTTATCCCTTACTTAAGTCTCTGCCTGCAGGCATTTCTGTATCAGCTGCCATCATATTCTCAAAGAATTTTATTATTTGCAGGGCTGGTCCCACTTCTAACGTCCGCTGAGAAATCCACCTTCAAACAATTGCCACAGCCGAGTATTAACAGTGTCTAGTCCCTTCGCTCCAGAGACTAGTTGAGATTTAATCTGATTAAAAACATTTCCCCTTTCTCCCAGAATTGCTGGAAACATTCTTATTCAACAGTCTGTAGAGGATTTCAGAAGACTGAAAATCTACTTTGTAATAGATGTATTTATTCATTTTACTTCTTGGAAAATAAATCAAGAAAATAAGCAAATGATGCATCTAAATGTCTATGTACAAAAACGATATTGTAATTAGTGTTTATGTGAATATTAGAAAATAACTTTAGTACCTATGATTTGAGACAAGTTACTTAAACCCTTTGCGGTTAAATTTCTTCGACTGTAAAATAAGAATAATAGCAGTACTTACTTTAAAGGTGATGGTGAGTTTTAAATAAATTAATATATTCAAAATACTTAGAGTAGTATTTGCAAATAGAATTTATCGCCTAACATTATTATTATCATCATTTAAGTAACAAAAGATGCAATAAATTATAGTATAGCCATATGCTAATACACCACTCAGTCATTAAAATATTTTAATAGAAAATTACTATCATTAAAAAACCATGAAAAATTATAGCAAACCATTTGATTACTGTAATATACAACTGTATAACTATAACTACGTACACCGATTTTAAAAGTTTAAATGGAATACACCAAATGATCTTTTCCCTCTCTGTCATATGTAAAATGTAGAAATATGCTCTTCTTTGTAATCCGTATTTTTTCAGAGAATGCATTGCTCTTGTAAAAGAAAGAAAGTATTAATAAAATTTAGGGTGCTTTTGTGGTATCAGTATGCCTGAGGATGACTAATGTATAATATAGGATTAATGTTTCCCACATTTCCTCAAACCTTCTTGAATTCTGCTGTCTGGAAAACAACTAGCCCAGTGGTAACTGAGTTACAATAAAATCTTAAAAGCAAAAAGACACTGTGACTGGCTAACTGAAAGTGATCATAGAGCCGAGACTCTAATAGTTGTCCTGTCTGATGGTTGTCAAGTTTCAGCACACATGATTGCAAAATCTGAGCAGCATCAACGCCCTGCCAAGTGCCTTGTGGTATTTCATCGGTGTCGCTTACACGGCATACTAAACGTTTAACAGCAGGATCATTACCTATCCAGGCTGTGAGGTAATGGAATAGCACTTGCCTACTAAGGTGAAACAAGCTCACTTTGTGTGACCTACATCCTCCTGCTGGATGTGTGTGAGAAAATGATGACACCGTGGAAGCCAAGCAGCTGTGGTACTTTGAGCCACAAAGGAAGATACTCTCAAGTAAGACAGGAAGAAGAAATGCTTTCAGGATGCACTGAAATAATGTATCAAATAGTACGGCATGAGAGAAAACGACTAAAGGGAGAGTAGCTAAACGTGGAAACTCTGTACAGAAGAAAAATTGCCAGGTTTTGTAATCAGGTGATGTTGCTAGTCAGCCAGTTTAAACAGGTGTTAAAAAAAAAAATCTGTTTGCGACTGATTATTTTATTGTTTAATTTTCTGTTTAAAGATGAAATTAAACATGTGTATATATGTGATATATTTTACATAGTGGCGGCTGGATATTAGGAATATGTGGTCTCTGCTGCTGAGTTCACTAACACCAAAACACATCCCTTAACAATTGCAGGGTTTGTGAATAAGACCCACTACATGCTAGCATAGAAAACATTACCGTGGAGTTGTGTTGGAGAGAATTTGACATTTGGGTGAAAAAAAAAATCACATATATTAAACCAATGTATTATCATGTGGGCCACCAGAATGGTCATATCTTAAACAGAAACGGCATCACTTTACAAACCATTGCAAAATTGTCAGTGTACTCCCTTTTCAGACATTTGGGTGAAAAAAAAAATCACATATATTAAACCAATGTATTATCATGTGGGCCACCAGAATGGTCATAACTTAAACAGAAACGGCATCACTTTACAAACCATTGCAAAATTGTCAGTGTACTCCCTTTTCAAAAGCCTTTTCCTCCTTTTAGATAGACCAGGTATTCTGTAATTTTTGTGTAACTAGGTAGTCATCACATAAACTATATTCTAAATACATTGCAAGATCATTGTGATTGGGAGGTTTATTATCTAATCAATACTACCTAAGCAGCCATTTTTTGCAGGAAGGAACATTATGGATAGTATCTTCGCAGCAGTTGACATGAAATGACATGAGACAAATCTAGGTTAAAATTCTGATTCCCACAGCTACTAGTGGTAGAATACGTAGCAAGTTTCTGGTTTTTGTAATCCTTAGTTTTCTCATCTGAATATGTGGTTAACAATATTTAACTCTTATATTTGTTGAAATAATATAAAATATTTTATGTAATTTGTCAGTTATAATGACTGACACAAGGTAGAATCACAGCAAATGCCAGTTCTTATATGTGCATGTTTGAAATTTTAACACACTATTACAAACCAAAAATGGGCTTACTTGCAAATGTATGCCTCTCGTTAGTCCACAGTGAGCCCCAAAGATGGAAATTTGAAAGTGAAACTATCATTTACAAGAGATTTAAAATGTAACCATAATGAAAAATCAGGAACTAAACAGTTCATTTTTAAAAAATTTACCAAATATCTGTTTCAAGAAAAATAAGCCTGCACTACCAGCAGACAAACGTATCTTTTCTATAGAGTTTGGTGAAGATCTTTTTTTGTATTCTCCTTGTCTTGACCAGAAAACTGTGTCCTTTCACTACAAAAGACTGCCTACAGAGCCCCCTGAATAAGAAATGACCAACGCTTAGATTTGTATGACCTAAATAAATGTTGACGTGCGGGGCTTGGAAGTGGATACATACCAGAAACATCCATTCAATTAATATAACTGATGTTTTGATTTCCAAAGCTTATATCTACAGAGTAATTATTTTATTCCCTATTTTCTTTCACTATCCTTTGTAACTACACGGTTCACACCAATGGAAGGCACAATGGATTTCAATAACAGCGTTTCTTTAAAACAATATGTGCATCTTTAAGTCTTAAGCATAAGAAAAATGTGCGTTCTATAAAAAAGCAAACAAAATCTTAAAAGTTCTGATAGTGTTAAGAAAAAGTAAATCCGTGCATTTTCTATTACATTGCAGCTTCTTTTAGAGAAGCTCCTATACCTTTATTTCTTCACTCTTAGAAGAATGCCTGAAATTGTAAAACATAAATCAGGTAATGCAAGACTTTCGCAAATGAATCACTATTGCATTCATACCATTAGCCTCTGAACAGATGTCAGAAAGTAAAGATTGGCTGCCTCTAGATCAAGTTGCTGCTGCCAACTCTCGCGAGCTTTGTCAGTAACAGTTGATAGTAATGTCAGCGCAGTCTAATTTACAGGCTGGAGCAGCAGCTGCATCCTGCATTTCCCTGAAGTATTACATGATTTCACTCCTTGCAAACTTTATCATCGTTGTTGCAGAGAGTCGGGTAAGTTGCTCTGAATTTACACCTTCGTGTAGGGATGCAAGTGAAGCTCGTTCCGTGGGAGGAATGGGATCTCTTCACGTGTTTGCTGTGCCCCTTTGGTGCTCTGTGGAGGACAGTCACTGAAGCTTGCAAATGGGACAGATGAAGCAGGCGAGCAGGCACATGCATCAAATCTTATTCAGGGAACGCAGACTCAGTCCATTTAACGGCTGGGGAAACAATCCATTTGTTCAACTTTGTATAAAGAACAATAGCACTTGTGGAATCACCGTCCGCACCTTAAAGAAAAACATTTTATGTTGTTTTACTCATAAATGCATTGTTTAGTGAATCTCCTCTTAAAAGAACAACAAAAGTAGTCTTTGATCAGTCTCGCTCTTTTTTTTTTCTTTTCTCCTTTTTTTTTTTTTTAAGTGTCATGAAATTAATAACTCTCTTACTACTTTGCTTAACAGGGTACTTATCCCAATCAACATTTCATCATCTGAAACTTTCACAGTATCCGTTGGCAAATGACAGGTCAAAGTTTCTTTAGTGTAAAAGGAAAACCTATTTCCTAATTTTATTTATGAACTTGTCTCCTTTGCCCTGTCTGTCCTCTTTCTTTTTATATGTGTGTTTAAACTGCAGCAAAATTTCTTACATTTGCTATTATTTTTATTATTACAGAAATAAGCAAATACAGACTTTCTGCTCCTTCTATAATCTCATAAATCTACCGTTATTTAGATGACATTGGTTCTAGTTTAACAAGGAGATTAAACATTAAGAGTATAAGATGTATGAATGATTCAAGTAAGCTGAAATATGAACAAAATGATTTCATTGTTTATAATTTTTATTTGTTATATAAATTTTTATTTTATGAAGTTGTCTTCTACATTTTTATGAATATTTCATGATGATAAATGTAATTAAGAGTTGTTATCACTAGTCTGCGTGATGTCTTCCTTAATATAAACTATCTCATAGTTGCGATAAATACAATTGTATTTCACTTATATTAATAGTTGCTTTGTTTAAGGATAAGTATGAGCATTTAAAGCATGGCTCTATCATTTAAATGAAAATCTTTAGAATTATCTGTGTATACGAAATACCATGGATGCCAAATAAAATTTCTAATTGGATTTTTGAAGTTCTGTTTTATTCTCCTAGATTATTTTGCTGTTGATTGTTTGCAACGTACTACATCTTTAATTGTAAAAAAAAATTATTTGGGATCTACTATGCATTGCATTTTTATAAAATATAAGCTAATAATATTTTAACAAAGTTACATCTCATCTACAAATTTAGTTCCTGATACGATTCATTTCTTGGTAACAATTAATAACACATATCAAAATTATATGTTGTCTTCATTTTAATGCTTTCATGCCAAAATCTGTTCTTTCTTACTAAAACTAGATCGTCCCAAATGTTAGAGAACTGTAATTAAATAGATATGAACCTAAGAGCAGACCGAACGACTGAACTTTCAAAGAAGATCGGCAAACTCTGTCTAATAATTACATATTCAAATTATTCACACAATGAAGTTTGTGAATGGTCTTCCTGTTTGAGGACAGATCAGATCTTATGTGTCCCATACCTCATATAGTGGCTTCTATCTGCACAAATTCTTTTAGCACCTAATGGGTATACAAAGGATCCCTGAAAGACAGTGGTATAGTCTATTTATAAACAGACTTTCTCGATTCTCCACTTAGCCTGAAACAAAACAAACTTTTTAGGTTTGGTATAAAGACTTAGTTGTTTTGATTTGACCAAATATATATTAGTAGCGTTTGCTCTAGATCATATTAATATTGTCCAGATGGCTCTTCCTCCACCATTTTAAGAAGCTTAATTTCCAAATAAAAATATGTATTTTAATGTAACTTTTTTAAAAAACTAAAAAATACTCTATACACAGGAAAAGCTATTGTAAATATTTGCTTGACCATCCTTTAAAAAGTCCCTGGCTGGCCCATTATTTTGAAAATGTGGTTGATATCTAATTATAGCAAATGTTAGATGGCAAATTTTCTTTTTTTTTGGCAGCTGGATGGCAAATAAATAGCTCTTTATATCCATCATTTTATCACACCCACAACTTACAGCATAGCATTGTATATTTCTTCTTAAAATTGGCTGGGGAATCTTGATACTATTTTCAAAATTGATCTAAAGATGCGAAAAGAAGAAAATGGTATTTTGCCATTTTTATTTTGAAAGTTATAGTTTTAAAAGTTTAGTATTTTCCAAAAATCGCCAGTAAATGTCAATATCTTGGAGCAACTGACAAACTTGGAAAACTTTATCTATAATCCTTCAGGTTTTCCCCCTCCCATGGCCATCATTCATTTTCTTTTGCAATTTCAAAAACTCCCATCTTTCTTTCAAATATTTAATACTGTTTTAATAAGTTAATTGATCTAAATTCAGATACTCAATTGCACTTGATGTGAAAATTTGCCTCAATTCTTTATGGTAAACATTTCATGTACTCTCAGAGTATAATTGCTTACTTAATGTGACAGTAACCAATTGCACCAGGATTCATAGAAGAGAGAACAATTGTTTAATTTAATATTTTAATTATTAATAAAGATTTAGAGATTAAAAACTAATAACATTTTCTTTGTCTCCTTTTATTTATTTCTCTTTTGATTCTTTAATCATGTGATAAACATATTCGAAAAATTTTAACTTCTTTCAATGGAAATACTACAGAGAAACATGTTAGAATAGAGAATACCAGATTATAAAAAGAACAAAGCGATTCTTATTTAAATAAATTAGACAGACTTTGCAGGTTTTCTTTGAAAGGTGAATCTGCTCTTAGGTTCATATCTATAGCTAAACATAAAAATATTAGCTTACACTGATGAGTATGTGAACATATGCATATTTTCATATTAATGTACAGATTTAATAATATGGTATAAAACATTCTTCAGCAGGTAGCAGGTAAACTGGAATTATATTGCCATTCTTGCAATGAATGCATACTTACAAAGATTGTTTTGAATGTTAGTAATTACAGTATTTACAAGGTGATGGTTCACAGATATAATTGTTGAAAAAACAACAATTCTAATTCATATAAATAGTACTATATAACATTAAACTCTATTCAGCACAAAATATAAATAAAAGTATTAAGAAATACTTGTGTATATCAAACTAAGTTACATGGGAATGATATTACAAACTTTTAGATGTTATAGCAGTTATTTTAAAACATAAAAAATATTACATATATTAATTATATGCAAATCAAATATATTTCATAGTGATTATATTTGCTTTACAATACAATTAATAAACTACCCGTAGAACAATAATTTATAAACTTTGAGACCAAAGTAATTAGGATTTGGTGTTTAGTTTTGAACGACAAAATAATATTTCAATAAAACCAGTAAAATACAAAAATCACAGATGATCTTTACGTTAGACTCAGAAGAACACTGACTGCCCCTGACAAGAGGAAGGAATGAGTGCAGCCAGGGATGCTGCAATAAATTCACTGAAATGCAGCTCAGAGTAAGCCAACTTTGTAACTTATTCCTTTTTCCTTTCCAAAGCAGGTTTTCAAAAGACAAAACAAAATCCATCACAGCACTTTGTTCTTCTCCAAATGTCCACCTCCATTTATTTAAGAGTAAGGGCTCGGTAATTATCAGGAAAAAAAAAAAAAAAAAAAAAAAAGGAAAGGAAAGGACTCTAGTAGCAGTGTCTCTAAAACTCCTATTCTGTCAGAAATATAAAATTTCATTCGATAAGTGTCAAGTTATAGGAACCTTTACATTATTGTTGCATTTTATTTATTATCATTATTTATGATATAACAAATTACATTTGTTACAATTATAATAATAACTAGATATCATGAGTATAGAAAGTGTTACTTTACTATTATAGTATATATAGTATATATTATAGTATATTGTACTGCAGTAATATATGTTGTTGATCTTAGGACATATACAATTGTAACAAAATTGAGAACATAAATAATAGTCTTGTGGCTTGATTTTTTTTTAAAAAACCTTATGATAGCAATCATTTTATATATAGATATATAAGTATATGCATATACATATGGATATTGATAGAATTAGACATAGCCATATATACACACACACACACACATATGCATTAAGTATCAAGTCCTGAACAAAATGTTATATACCATGGATTAATTTATTCAGATATTTGTTGGGATCAAAAATATTTATTGATCACTAGCTGTCCTATGAACAGTGGTGAATGACACTGATCTAAAAGATGAATATTCTAGGGCTGAGGCATCGGTATCAGGATATTTCCTTATTCTCTGAATTCTAAGGCAATCTAAATTAGACAAAAAACCAAAAACTAATAGAAATGATCAATGCTAATAGGATTATTTTCTTGGTCACATAAGTTGGATTAACAATTACAGCATCAGTAATAATAATAAAGGAAAGACCGTACATTTATGGACCTTAGATTATTGTGATAACAGCCAGTCTTTGTAATTGACTTCTTATTTGGGTTTCTTGCATCTATATAAAGATGCCAGTTCTTTTAAGTGATATTTGTGTTACATTTTTCAGTCCCTCTTTGCCATGTGGAGTTTCATGATCTGATTTTTAATTTCTTTTCTTTACTTTTTTTATTTAAAAGAAACTCAGTTTTGGTGAAACTTTGATCTCCCCAGATAATCTCTTTATGTCATCACAGAATATTATTTAATAAAATGTCAAATACTTGTGATTTTGTAAGTCAAAAAGATTATTTTTCCTTCCCCACTTGTCCAGTAATTTCTCAGGTTTGGTCCTCTGGCTTCATCAAAATACAATTAACTATGACTATGCTAACACATCTAACTTTACTAGTCGTATATACTTTAATCAATTAACAAATTAACAGATATTCATTGAGTAATGTATAGGTGTAAAATTCCTTCTAAGCCAGCATCTTCTCCCACACATTATAATACCAGCCACTGTTTCTCAACATTGACATTGCAATTCAGGTAGAGAAGCCCTTCATGGTTATTAAATTTTTGAGAAATTACCTAGCATATATCCCAGTCCTCACCTTTCTATTTTTCCCTGTAGGCCTTTATAGTGATAGCATCTTTTTTAGTTTTTGTAATTTGTAGGATCAATGGCAACTACTATAGTTTTGTTTCTTAATATCCTATGAATAAATTGTCTAAATTCTCTTCTGACCATAGACTGGGATTGTATAGAGTAAGAAAGCACTAGGCAAAAAGAATCACAGAACGGGTAATGAGACAGAAAAGGACAATGATAGAAGCATACAGATCTTTAGGTGTTCTCAACCTACTTTAGAGTTCTAGCAAGAGCCCATGATATTTTAGAGAATACATGAGCTTGTATTTTCTCCTCTAACCAAAGTAGAAATTATATCTAACATAAGTAGACTACCACTTATTGCTGCTTTAGGTGGGATTGTGTATTGTACAGAAATAATATTATATATGCTTGGAATAAACTTTCTTTTTAAAATATTAATTCTTCCTTACAGAGGTTTGATAATGATTATCCCCAAACAAATAATATCTACATTCCATTCTATTTATTTCTTTTCTAAATTGAAACTGAAATGTCTCCAACGGTTTTCTATTTTTTTCCTGCATAGACCTTTATAGTGGTAGCAGATTTATTTGCTTTCATAATTTGTGGGATTAATAAGAACTACTGTATTTTAGGTAATTATTATCAATAAACATGAGGTTGATCAAACTTCCTACTTACCTGTCTTTCAGAAATCAAAATGCAGTGCAAGGGCACAGTGACATGCATCAGATTTCTCTTGTTGTTTCTTCTGCTTTTCATGCTTATCGGGAAGTCACACACTGAAGATGATACCATAATTACAACTGAGAATGGAAAGGTCAGAGGGATGAACGTGCCAGTTCTTGGTGGCACGGTAACAGCCTTTCTTGGAATTCCCTATGCACAACCACCTCTTGGTAGACTTCGATTCAAAAAGCCACAGTCCCTGACCAAGTGGTCTGATATTTGGAATGCCACAAAATATGCAAATTCTTGCTATCAGAACACAGATCAAAGTTTTCCAGGCTTTCAAGGTTCAGAGATGTGGAACCCAAACACTGACCTCAGTGAAGACTGTTTATATCTGAATGTGTGGATTCCAGCACCTAAACCAAAAAATGCCACAGTGATGATATGGATCTATGGTGGTGGTTTTCAAACTGGAACATCATCTTTACATGTTTATGATGGCAAGTTTCTGGCTCGAGTTGAAAGAGTTATTGTAGTTTCAATGAACTATAGGGTGGGTGCCCTAGGATTCTTAGCTTTACCAGGAAATCCTGAGGCACCAGGGAATATGGGTTTATTTGATCAACAGTTGGCACTTCAGTGGGTCCAAAAAAATATAGCAGCCTTTGGTGGAAATCCTAAAAGTGTAACTCTCTTTGGAGAAAGTGCAGGAGCAGCTTCCGTCAGCCTACATTTGCTTCATCCTAGAAGCCACTCATTGTTCACCCGAGCCATTCTACAGAGTGGATCTTCTAATGTTCCTTGGGCAGTAATGTCTCTTTATGAAGCTAAGAACAGAACACTGGCTTTAGCTAAGTTTATTGGTTGCTCTAGAGAGAATGAGACTGAAATAATCAAATGCCTTCGAAATAAAAATCCCCAAGAAATTCTTTTGAATGAGGTGTTTGTTGTCCCCTATGGTACTCTTTTGTCAGTAAACTTTGGTCCAACTGTGGATGGTGATTTTCTCATTGACATGCCAGACACATTACTCCAACTTGGACAATTCAAAAAAACCCAGATCTTGGTGGGTGTTAATAAAGATGAAGGTACAGCTTTTTTAGTGTACGGTGCTCCTGGTTTCAGCAAAGATAACAACAGTATCATAAGCAGAAAAGAATTTCAAGAAGGTTTAAAAATATTTTTTCCAGGAGTGAGTGAATTTGGGAGGGAATCGATCCTTTTCCATTACACAGACTGGTTAGATGATCAAAGACCTGAAAACTACCGTGAGGCCTTGGATGATGTGGTCGGGGATTACAATATCATATGCCCTGCCTTGGAGTTTGCCAAGAAGTTCTCAGAAGTGGGAAATAATGCCTTTTTCTACTATTTTGAACACCGATCCTCTAAACTTCCTTGGCCAGAATGGATGGGAGTAATGCATGGCTATGAAATTGAATTTGTCTTTGGTTTACCTCTGGAAAGAAGAGTTAATTATACAAAAGCCGAGGAAATTCTGAGTAGATTCATAATGAAACGCTGGGCAAATTTTGCGAAATATGGGTAAGTTTTGATTTTTGTAGTTATTCTTATCTGTTTTTGTTTTGTTCTGCTTAGCTTTGCTTGTTCTGTGGTGTAGAGTTCATTAAAGGCACAGAAAAAGTTTAAATGATTTGTTCTCTTTGTACTTAAGATCACTTTGTTTTTTATTGTGTAGTAAATTTCAATTCCTTGTGTCAGAGTGCTTCAAAGAAATCATCATATTATCTTTATGAAAAATATTTTCTGATTTTATGCCCCCCAAATTGCAAAGTACATTAACAATGCTAGCCAAAGTTTGTATGGAAATAGATATTTACCTTGAGAACTAAAATTCTTTTGACAATGTTTCTTTTTTTTTTTTTTCCTTTTTGTCTTTTTTCGTGTCCGGCAACGGATCGCAACCCTCAGTGTCGCGCCCGTACCGGACCGGGACCGGCAATGGGATCGCAACCCTCATTGTTGCACCCGCACCTCACTCAGCCAGTGAGCAGGAACCGGTCTGTATGTGGGATCCGAACCCTTGGCGGGAGCGCCACCGCACTCCCAACCACCGGGCTGGCCCATTGACAATGTTTCTTAACCTGCGAGTTTACGTTCACAGATTTAGAAAAGAGTAGGGATATATCTTCTCATGCTCTTAAGTCTCTGCTCAGGAAAATGAAGGGGTGTGATGGTGATGGGCTGGCCTGCAGATTACCCAAAATACACAACATTTGCTATTTTATCAATATTTTTCTCTAATAGGTTTGTTCAGAACTCTTAGATAATCTGTGTTTGACAAGACCTGTGAGGGTCCTCATGTTTAACTAAGCTGTTCTCCACTTGAGCAGCCTTATAGTTGACATTAGATAATCAGTGACATTACATAAGAACTTATTTTCTCTCATGTGAGTATGTTATGAATATTGTATAATTATGTCCTCAAGAGTCAGAAGAAATTAACCATTTGGAATATATTTTCTAAATGTGTGTATATCTATAGAAACTAAATTTTTTCGGGTTTTTTTCCCCCCCAGTACATTTGTAACTCCAAAATGAATTTTAGACATGGGAGTAATTGTACCAATGTGTATAATAAAAACAAACAGAAACTCAAGAATCTATTTTTTAAAGGAGTGTTTAATCAATCACAAATTTATTGATGCTGTAGTCCAATGTCTCATACTGTCCTTTATGATAAATCAGAATGCTGATAGTGATAGTATTGCTTTATGGTTTTCTTTTCCACCCTCCATTTGGAATTCCTTGTACTCCATCTTACTATATGTATATTTCTACAATATCAGTTATCTGATAGAATTCTTTTCAAAATTGTTTGATATTCACCCACAGTGTACAAAGTTAAAATTCTTCCCCCTAGCATTAAGGGGACTCTACAATCTTGCCACAGTCCACACTACCCAACAACACCTGGATGCTTTGTAGGCCAGTTATCTCACAAATGCCAAAGATTTCAGGTGCAACTGCACCTTAGAGCTCTGTTATCACTAAGGTCCCTGTCTAGAACACTTACCCCTTTCCTTTTTAATGACATAAATCCTACTTGTTTTTAAGGTCCTGACTGACTACCAGTCCTATTGAGCATTTCTGTAATTCCTAGTGTTGCAATTACTTCAGAACTTTTTTTTCACTCTCACAGAAGTTAACTGTAACTTGTCTATATCCTATCTTTTATTGTGAGCTGATCCTCCTCAAATATACTAAACTAGCTTCTTGATACAGAAACTGTGGCTTTGTTGAATAAAATACTGAGATGGGTATAAATAATATTTAACAAATATTTGTTAACCCTTGAATGAGAGCTAGTAAAAGCTAGTGTGAGTTACAAATATATTTTTACTGTTTTTTCAAGATATGTTGATTATTATTTTATCTGTGGCTGTGAAATATTTTATGCCTTCTCAACATCAGCCTAAATCTCTGTTCAAAAAAAAAAAAAAAAAAAGGATTAGTTTTAGAGCTGCATTAGAATTACTTAGGTTTCATTCTCTCCCTAAAAGCTGTATCCAAATTTAATCATTTGAATAAGTTTTTAATTCTTTCTTACAATTCTAGAGATTGTAAATAATTTAAGGAAAAAATATTTCTTAAAATTATTGATGCCTGACATTTTTAAAGGACTTCATATTTTGTATATTGAAATCAAGGAATTAATGTTTTCTAACGTCACAGTGGAAAACACTGAGAATCAAAAGTAAATGTCTTGTTTATGACACAAACAGCAGCAGATCAAAGAAGAGAATCTTTGTCAATTAGTAGAATAAATTGTTTAATCTTAAGCTAGTACTTCTATGCTTAATACACTTTAATGGGAAATAAATGAAAGTTGACATTTTAATTACAAATATAAAATCATATAATAGAAATTATAAACCATAAAGGGTTAAAGTAAACATTGTAAAGTAGTGTAGCCATAACAAGATGTTATTTTAGTAAGTAATTGTCTTAATAGTTCATATTTGCTCAGTTAAACAAAAGTGATAGTAATACATCATACATGTTGAGAGTTGACTTGATGGCAAACACATTGTTAATCTCCTGATGTTCATTATCTTTTCTCAAAGAATACCCATGAGTACCTACAGAAGCTTAGAATGATTCAATGAATTCCAATGGAAACAAAGTTGTTAAGTGTTAGGTTTGGAAATCCATCCACACCTGTCTTACCCCAGAGACATGATGTTCCAACTCTGTGGTTCTCAAGGGCGGAAATTTTACTCCTCATTTCCCTTTCCCCACCCTACAGGGACATTTAACAATGTCCGGAGCCTTACCCCAGAGACATGATGTTCCAACTCTGTGGTTCTCAAGGACGGAAATTTTACTCCTCATTTCCCTTTCCCCACCCTACAGGGACATTTAACAATGTCCGGAGCCCGTTTTGAGTGTCAGGACTGGGGCTGGGGGTGATACTAGCAGGATAGAGAAGCCACGGATGCTGCTAAACATCCTAAAATGCACAGGACAGTGCCCCACAACAAATACTTATTTGTTACAAAATATCAAGAATGCCAATGTTGAGAAATTCTGCTAGTCACTGCTGCCCCACAAACTCAACTGGCAGATTAAGAAAGTAAAAAGTAGAACATGGAGCTGTAGTTATCACTCAGGTAAATGAGTTTTTAAGTTTATGGTTCATAAATGTTTCAATCAGCTCTTCTTCTTAAATAGTAAGCCTATGTATATTATCTGCAAACTACTTTGGAGTATATTTTACATACAGTAAAATACATACGTACTAAGCATATGTATCAGTAAGTCTTGACTAATGTGTACCCCCCAATATATTACCACCCAATCAAGATAAAACATAATTCCATCACCACAGAAAATTACCCGCCTCTTTGCAGTCCTCTTTTCCTCCCTACCCCCCAGTCAACCACTGATTACATTTCTATCATGATAGATCAGTTTTACCTTCTCTAGAGCTTTATATTACTAGTATACAGTATATAATTTTGTATCTAGTTTCTTTTGCTGTCCAACTATTTTCCTTAGTTGAGAATTTTATGCTTCCAGAAGAAATGTACCAGAGCTCCAGTTGCTCCACATCCTTGGCAAGATGTGGAATGATCAGTCTTTTTAATTTTAGCTCTTCTACTGACTTTGTAGTGGCATTTCATTCTGGTTTTACTTAGTATTTCCCTGATATCTAATGATGTAGAGCATTTTTCATGTACTTACTGGTCATTTGTATGTGTCCTATTTTGAAGTATCTGCTTCAGTCTTTTGCCTATTTTTGTTGGGTTTTACTTATTGAATTTAAGGATTTTTCATATATTTAAGATACAAATCCTATGTATTTTGAATACCTTCTCCCAATCCGCATCTTGACATTGTATTTTTGAAATTGTTTTCTTAATGCTTCCTTAATATGTATAAGAACAGAACTTATTAATTCAAATGAATCCCAACTTATTAATTTCTTTCTGTCCTGTCTAATAAATCTTTGCCTACACCAAAATTTGTAGACATTTTTTCTGGGTTTTTTTTTTTTTTCATGTTTTATAGTTTTAGCTTTTAGCATTTTGGTCTGTAATCCATTTGAATTACTATCTGTAAACTTTCAAAGTAAAAGTTGAGGTTCATTTTTTTTCCACATAAATATTCAGACATTCAATCACTTTTGATTTACCTTGGCAACTTTTTTGAAAATCAGTTCACCAGGTATGTGTGGATATGACTGAGGACACTTTATTCTGTTCTATTAAGTGATCTAATGTTTATTCTTATGTCAGTATCAGAGTGTCTTCAGTAGTAAGTCTACACAGTATGATTTAAAATTAGGTAGTTTAAAGTAGTACACTTTGTTTTCAAAACCAAAATTTTTGATCTGAAAAAATTTATTATGTCTATTTTGGGTTTGCATTTCCAAATAAAGTTTAGAATGAGCTTCTCAGTTTCCACAAAAACTGATAGGTTGTTGAAATTATTGGTCAATTTGAAGATAATGGCCATCTTAACATTATTGCTTTTTAAATTCATGAACATGGTGTATCTTTCTTTTTATTTTGTTGTTTTTTAGTTTCTAAAAAATGTTTCTAAGCTTTATGTGTAGAGGTCTTGCATATATTTAATTCAGTATATCTCTGAGAGTTTTATGTATTTTTAAAATTAGTTTTCCAATTTAGTTTTTGCTAATATCAAGCAATACAATTTATTTTATACTTGCCTATTACCATGAATTGTTGCTAATTTCACTTATTAATTTTAGTTATTTTTGTAGATTTATTAAAAATCTCTATATTAAGGAAAAAAAACTATTTTCAGTGAATTGTAACAGATAGTTGGCTACTTACTTTACAATTTTTATGTTTGTTGTTTTCCTGTTGCTGATTTTGATCTCTATATTAAGGAAAAAAAACTATTTTCAGTGAATTGTGACAGATAGTTGGCTACTTACTTTACAATTTTTATGTTTGTTGTTTTCCTGTTGCTGATTTTGTTAGTGCATTCTCTAGGACTTTTAGCACAATGTTGAATAACAGAGGTGCGAGCATATAGTCTTGTTTCAAATCTTA